CCCCCCACCCCACAAAGCCTGTGGCCAAGAAGCAAGCTCCGTGGCAGCACACAGAGTGCTGGGAACCTCTGGCCTCCATTACCCCTCGGCTTTGCTAAGGGAATGCAAAACCAAGGGTGTGGCTCAACAGGGCCAGCTGCAGGGCTGGGGGCAATACACCTGCAAGCAGGCATCAAATTAACTGGGCTCCACTGTCCAGCCCCGGCAGGAAAAGGACCCAAGCATCCACTAGGCCCTGGAGATCCTGCCCTGGGAAAACAGCCCAGAGCAGTCAACAAACCCCAGTGCAAACAGAAACAGAGCAAAGGGATTAGCAGCACCATAAACAACTCGGGAACTGCCAGCACAGCACACCCCCCCCCAGTTTGGCTTTCAGGGAAGACCAAACTGGGGGAGGAAGCCTCCAAGAGCTGCATACCACAGGATCCAGTAGGGCTGTGTGCGTTTTCTTCTGGGGCTCCAGATGGGAAAAGGTCTCCCAGAAGACCCTGTACAAGGACAAGAGGGACAAGGACAAGGACCAACCATAGACCATGGATTGTGAGAGCGCCGTGGTTCTACGAGACCCTGAACCAGTGCCGCAATGTGTACAGTCTGCAGCATGCAGGCCCGGCGAACATGAGAAACCACAAGAAGATCCAAGAGACGGTGACACTAAGTGATTTCACGTCTCCTGTGGACCTGCTCCCAAGCGACACATGCCAGGCTGTGTGGGAGCACATCCACCACAAGGAGCTGCACAAAGATCACAGGGACCTGAATTGGCTCATAGCTCACCGAGCTCTGCCAGTGAGGGCCCAGAGACAGAGAGAGGGGCAGTTGGGGAGACTCGGCTGCCTGTGTCCCAACTGCCACGGGGCCACCGAGACAATTGAGCATCTCCTCTGGCTGTATGCCAAGGAGGTATGGAAAAAGGTAAAACAGCTCTGCAAAGCAGTGACCAGTGTCAGCCAGCTAAACAGTGAAGCAGCGCCGTACGGGCACCCTGCCAAACATCAGGGGAGACTGTTGCCCCGTTTTGACCAGTTTGCGTTCTGC